TATATATATATATATATATGGTGTTTCAGAGTACGCAGGCCAAATCGCTCCTGCGAAAACTACTCATCGCGTCGAAAAAAGGGTTGTGGCGTTTTGGTCCTGGTCCAGGGGCCCATTTGGGAAAATTAATTTTGTCCGGGGTAATTCATTGTTTAATTGTTTTTGCGTAATTAGCTTCCTAGAATTGTGTTTAAGGGCATGGTTTAAATTAGAAATTTGCTCAGCATCATCAAAAAACACTAAATCAACAAATTTCAAAACGATCGAAGGCACGCGAAGCATTTTACGGCTTTCTGAAAAACCGCACAAATTCGACGGGTTTTTAAGTTTCGCCTTGCTATCGGAGCGCATCTCGGCCCCGGCGGCACCGCGCCCCGTGGAGAGATAGTGCATCCAACCTCTGCTGCGCTGTCATCGCGCGACGCAGCAGAGGGTGGTTGCACTCTCTTTGAGTGTAAAAAAGAATATTCCTTTTTTTTTTTTTTACACGCAAACACGTGTGACTCGACTTCTGAATACTCTTTTTTTTTTTTTTGCCGATACCCTTTAGAGTTTTGATTTAGGCTTTTTCCCCTCTCTATTTGACACATCAAGCAAGACAATATGTCGCGGCTCACGTTTGCGATTGAGAGTAATAAATGCGAATAAAAAATTAACTGCAGCCGAGGTAACGATCGGGTGTGTTGTCGTCGCCAGAGCAACTGACAGCTGAAGAAAGGCAGAGCGTGGCGAGTCAAGGACATTTTATTACCGCCTCGCAGCCAATCAGAAGAAGCATCGGCCGATAAGAGCACCGAAGAACCTTTAACGAAGCAACATGCGCGATTATGGTAATATATTATATAGGGCCGGCATTGATTAAAGTTTCAACCCGATTAGTAGCCGCCCTTTAATCGAGTACGTAATTGAGTAACCGGTCCCGTTGATTTCCATACGTAATTCTTCCAAAAAGTCAAAATTAACGTGGTTCTTTTTGCCTTTACGGGTGATGTAAATAGTCCAATTAACAATTGAGATTACGAGCTAATGAAGCAACCTCGATGTGTAGTTAAGAACGGTTCATGGACACTTAAACTCACAGAGTATTACATCAGCTGCATGAGGCACAAAAGTTCGTTAATGTTCTCCGCAAGAACAGCCTCCTTTGATTGTTTAGAACAGTCTTTTTGGCGCGCTGAATGAAAACGCGCATAGCGTAAAGTGCCCAGAACACGTACAAACATCTGCAAATGCCTGAAGTTAAGAGAATCTCCCTTATAGTTTTCGTTAGAGCACAATTTTACACATATGTGGCACTTTACAGGGGCGTGCTTTCCAACAACTCCTCGATAACAAAGCCGTAGAGTGCTGATAGAGAGATCGTCATCAGCGATGGCCAACGCTGGGTAGAGATTGGACACGATGATTGCGTCAACCTCCGGCACTCAAACTTGACTCGAAAATGAGAGCTTACGCAGCAGCAGCCGTTTCCAATCGGTATCCTGCGTTGGCCTTTGCTGTTGACGCAAAAATGTCAGAACTACGGTTTTTGTTTTTTGGGCGGTGTTGACTCCCTTAGACCTGCGTGATGAAGGCGTTAAATGTTCACTTTCTTTTTGTTCGTCAAAACTTGACAGATTAGCCTATTAAAAAGATTAGTCGTGATCTAATCGTTAATCGATTATTCGGTAGGTAAATCGATCTACTTCTCAGCCATAAAAATATAATTTAACCACCCTGCGCTTATTGAACTGTCCTGACTACGAGTTGAGAAAATCCACGTGCGATATCATAGCAGGAACGAGGCAGCTGCTTTAATTTCTTGGGCAACCCAATATTGCTAACTGCACCCGCTGAAATATATTCGACCAAAATGGGACGCGGCTCCGTTGAACGCCTCGTATTCTCAAATTACAGCTCGAGCGGCTGCTCAACACTTTTCTCGCGGTAAAAAAAAAAGAAAGGGGGGGGGGGGGGGAGGGAGGGGCGGGGTAGTACGTAATTTGGGACTGCCATGCAAGGCATGATGCAAAGATCGTGACGCACCAAAAAAATGAGCGCTCTGTTGGCGCGGACCGCACATACAAGAAAAATAAAATTGGCTTCCCTGGAGCTTTATATTCTATTTTCACTGTCCCCCCCGCAGCTTGTGCGCGGACCAAGAAAAAAAAAAGAAGAAAACAGGTTGCGTCGAACACAACAAAATAAAGCTATTTTGATTTAAAGTTGTAACAAAAACTAAATACATGGACTTCTTGGCGCTTTAGTAATTATAACAAGGTTATACAAAAAACCGAAAGTTTTCACTATAAAAACCGCCCGTGTCAAACATTGGATATAAGAAGGAAGGGAATAAATTACTGTTTTGAAATATCTCGCACCACAGCGGTGCCTAGAGCTGGGGATTCTTTTGAATTCCACTGAACAAAAATTATCTTAAACAAAACCAAGTAATGAAGAACTTGAAATTCCTACCTGCATCCCATCAGTCTTCGAAGAGGGGCCTTTTTTTATTATAATGCACTTCCGCGGAAGCCTCGAAGGCCTTGAACATTTGGTCCGCCCGTCAGTCGGTGCTTTCATTTTCTAGCTGAATTCAAGGAAGTCAACGTCGCGTGGCCTATACACCAATGTAGTCTCCACCACCGAACTCTATGACACTTTGAGGAATTGGGCATCCCCTCTTGGTGGATTGCAACTTGATCGCATCCAGAGGGGATGCGATCCAGAGGATGCGCATCCCCTTTGGATCGCGTGTCCTCCCCGAGGCGCCCTACTGGGTGGCTCGTGGACTATGTCACATTCTTCTTTTTTCATCTAATTGTAGCACTGTTTTCTTCTTTCTTGCCTCCGGAGCTCTTATCCCAAATCCAGAAAGTTCACCTCCCTAGGGGTCAGAGTCACAGAAGGTTGGCTCAAACACGAACTGTTGTGTTTCATGATGTTGTACGCTTCAACCATCTCTCGACATGTTTGGTCATGGTGTTGATATAGTATAATAGTGCCTTCTAAGCGTGGTTCGCCCCGCAATCTTGGTAATGTACCGCAATATGTGAATACGCGGTGCATTTGAAGGAGTTGCGCTGCTCTCTGACGCGGATACTTAAGTACCGGCCAGTATGCCCGATTCAAGAGCACCCACAAGATATAAGAGCGCCCATAAATCGAGAATCACTTTCTGCATCATAGTATCGAAACGTAACACTTGGTAACACGCCATGTCGGGATATTTACAAAGACACCTCAATTCCCTCGTAATCGTTGACCCTTTAGGTATAGCCACTTCCAATGTAGTTATTCATTTTCTTAGGGGCAGCAATCCACAGGGGTGCACAGCATTCAGCATTGATGTAGAAGACTTACACTACTCTGCGCCTCATGATGACCTAATGGTAAGCGTTCAAGAGTGCATTTTGAAGTGCAACGACGAAACTAAGTTCAGAACGCAACGCAGAATCACAGTTGAAGATTTCCTTGAACTGTTGTCTCTGTATATAAAGTCTACTTTTTTAGAGTAAAAGGAAAAAGTATTCGTTCAGAAGTCAGGTGGTTGTATGGGGTCGAGAGTAGCGCCTCCACTGAGGGATATTCTTTTTTCTGGGAAAGATAGGTAGAACTTTAGTTCATAAATTAGAAAAACAGACCATTGAGGTCTTTAGCTATGTTGATGATTTTTTGGTATTTGTTTAAGACTCAGATTTAAAATAAAAAAAAACACTATATTAAGTACTAAAAGTATTCCATGAGCTTGATCAAGGCCTTAGGTTGACTTATGAGACTCCAAGAGAGAATCAAATTTTTTTTTTATCTCCTCGCTGAATTTAAGAAAGAACACATTTGCTGGTTGTACTTTCCTAGAACATCAAAAAGTCTGCTAATTTGCCAGTCAGCACATTTTAAACTCGCAAAAAGAGGCATAGTATATTCCTGTTTGAAATCCGCTCGAAGAAAATCATGTGTTCACACAATGGGCGTTAGTTTCGCTTCCCAGATTAAAAGGATTAGGACATGAGGATACCCAGACTATTATTTTATCAGCATGCGAACGTTTAATAAAAATAGTAATGATTGATTCCAATTTCATGTTGGAAAAAACAGTTAGGAAAGAAAAAAAAGGAAAGTTTCAGTTATTTCTTATATTCACCACATTTCACACGGACTTAAAAAAGTCGCGTCCCGATATGAGCTAAATGTCGTCTTCTCAGCCAAAAACAAAATTAAGTAGATTATGTTCCGTTGCACGTGTACGCAGGGACGGGAACACAAAATTAGAATATAACATATGTAAGGTAAAGCATGGGAAAAAGTTTGCATCGTGCGTGAAAGGCGTGCTTTATTGCATTCCCTTCTCTTGTGGGCGATCTTAAATCGGGCAGACTGGCCGTTGCTTAAGCATCCGCCTCAGAGAGCACCACAGCTCCTTGAAAGGCACCGTGTATTCACATCTAGATGTACATTGCCGAGTTTTTGGTGCAAACCACGCTTAGAATACACCATTATACTATATCAACACCATGACCAAACATGCCGACATATGGTTGAACCGTACAACATCACGAGGAACAACGGTTCGTGTGTGAGCCAAGCTTCTGTGACTCTGACCCCCAGTGAGGTGAACTTTCCGGATTTTGAATAAGAGCCCACGAGGAAAGAAAGAAGAAAGCAAGTGGTAAAATCAAAAAAGAAGAATTTGACATACTCTATGAGGCGCCCAGCAAGCGCGTGAATATTTGAGTCCATGTTTTTTTTTTATTTGATAGTCTTTCTTCCTTATGTTCTATTAACAAACCAGTTGATAGTCAGCACTTGTCTTGTATTCTCTTCGTCTTTTGTCCTCGTCCCAGTCGCGCTGTTTTTCAGCGTGCATGGAGTTGAAATAATTCTTATTTTTATATTCTTAGAATTAAAAAAAGAAGGCTGTTTTGAAACCCATCGTTTATTTCATATGTTCATTGACAGTGATCTGAGTTTTTATTAAACTGATTGTAGCTCTTATTTTGTTATATTAATATCTATTTCAGCTGATACGATGCAATTGCTCCCGAAAGTTTGACTACGGGATTATAAAGAACCTCGCAAAATATGGGAAGGTATGTATTCATTCTCCCAGTTTAATGTCACGCCGTGGCGGAGGAACAACAGCATTAGAAAAACGGATCGGCGTATAATTTTTAAAAACGGCTGGAAAGGTTTGCTGAGTTAAATAGTTTATGCAAAGGAAGAGAGCGCATTGGTATTATTTAAAGATTTTTGCCATTCGTGTTCTTATCTACCACGTGAATGTTAGTGGGCTTCCCATAAACACAGACACAGACACACACACACACACACACACACACACACGCACGCGCGCACACGCGCGCGCGCATTCCCACATGCACACGCAGAGACACACGTAAAACATGAGGAGAAAAATATTTTTTTTTCCAAAAATTTGGGATGTGTTGGAACGCGAAATATAAAGTTCCAGTGGACCAATCTTCAGATTATTCGAAATGTTTTTTTTTTTTTGCCTGACGTCATTTGTTCAGGGGAACGGCGTAGTGAAGCCATGAAAATGTACAATTTTTTTGAACAAAAGCTGGTTAGTAAGAGAGCCACGAAATATTCGTTTTCCATAATCACAAAATCGTTTGCAATGTAATGGAACATTTTCCAGACGGGAGCTGGGTTAAGGGGCGAGTGCAATTAGGAAGTTAATTTATTGTACGTGCCTTATAGTAAATCTTGAATCGACGAATTTACCTTACTTTTCGTTGTCTAGTGCTGGTGCGTCACGTCACATGTGATGTGATAAATAAAGAACCACTTATATCCACGTTTAAACACCTGCATCCGGTCCCTCCCCCCCCCCCTCCGCCCCCTCCCCCCTCCCACCCCCGAAAGAAAAAGAATGCTTCAAATGCAAAGTACAAAACTAAATAAATATTGCCTCTCCTCCTTTCCACAATACAGTTCATGGATTGCGGAAGCCAGTAGCGACTCTTAAAGGGACACGACACCCCTAAAATATTTTTTTTTCACTAAAGAAATGATTCGACAAGGAACTTTGAACTGACTCTCAAACTTTGACGCAAGCAAACCAAGTATTAAAAGAGAGAGAAAAAAAAAAAACATTTTCAGAAAGCCGAATTCGAAGTTCCCGCGCTTCTCAGTAACGTCAAATAATCTATCGCGCTTCCCTTTTTCTTTTTTTTTTTCTTTTTTGTGACGCTCTTTTTTAATTGGAACTGACATTTTTGCTTAGGCGCTCGCTCTCGAATTTAAAAAGCGCCGGCAATGCGTGCGTAACCAGAAGACGCGCCAGGTGGACATGGTAACCCTTGAGTGAGGGGAAAAAGGAACGTACCAAGAGGAAGTTTCCCGTCCGTCCGTCCCTTTTTGTCCTCCCGCTCTTGGGTAACCATGCCTATTCATAACCAGTTTGCCTGCCTCTTTGCTTAAGCCCCAGCTGCAACTCGCGGCTGTTTTGTTTAAGCTTTCGAAAGAAAAACTTTCAAAACTGGTACAGCTGAAAATGAAGTAGAGAGGACTTTGATGACCGACGTGAAATGCGATGTCGAGTCGGTGCTTCGTCAAGGACTGTCCCAGCACCGTTAGAACCGAAAGATACCCGATAGAAAAACTTCAAAAAAAGTGAAGCGGGAAAAATGGCGTGGCTGGGGGCGATTCCTGCCGTACACCAGCTCGCTGCATGCAACACGGTCTTACCAGTCTGTTTTGTCGAGGCTCTACAAACCGGAAGCAGGCGAAAGTACCGACGACTCGGTGACGTCGTGATGGGGACCTTCCGGCTCTCGGTCCTGCGCCTTGTAGGGTGCTAGTCCCAACGTCTGCGAACGTTCAGATGATTCTTTCTCAACGACCCAAATATCATTAACGGAAAAAGTCACCCAATATTCCGAGTCCGCGCGAACCTCGCGCTCGTTTCTGGCCCAACCATCGGTCGTCGCATTTTGAGAGTTCAAAAGCAAAGATGACAAAGAGACGCCAGGAGACGATGTCTACACGTTGACTTCACTAAATAAATTTTCCAAATTTCACTTCTCAAATTTCATTTTGACCTTTGCAAAGCGGCGGCGTCGTGCGCAAGACACGCTCCCTCAAAGTATGTTTTGCTGCTCGCCATTAATATGTGTTACCGAAATTCTAAATCTTCATCCTCAAAAATCCTGCGTATTCAACCACCGTTGACGTAGTGTAATGTGATAAAGAAAAAAAAAATAACGATCTTAAAGGAGTAAATTCTAAAAAAGAAATGCAGGTTGTTTATTCTTTTTTAATAGCGCGTGAACTGTCTAGATTATTTTTCACGATGAACTGTTTTTTTTATGACACCATTCTGAAGCGTTTAAGGCAGTAAATTAATAAATATTGGAGCGTCAGGGCCACTTCAATTGGAAGCGGAGACACTTCTTTCAAATACGGGACAGAGTTTGATTCTAGCGTATTTTTATACCGTGAATCTGAATATGGCGTTCGTCTTCCATGAAAATGTAACTAAACGCTTGACAAGAGGAAAAAACTCCAACGAGTTGTCACGTCATAAAAGAATCCTTTGCCTTGCAAGCGAGTGTCGCTTGAGTGTCGCATGTGCAATTGCAAGCTTGCCATGTATTGACAATTGCAAGCATGGCGCCTCACTGGTGCCACATGCGTGCAAGCATGTGCAGCGTGCGCGTGAGCTTAGCATTGGCTAGCTTCTAAAGACGGCCAGATGCCGTTCTTGCAAACGTCTATATTCCCCTGCACTGGCACCAGTCGCGACGTATTTTTTTGCCATTTTCAAAAGATAGCAATAGTGCGCGTGCATACCTTTCATGGGCGCTGAAGATGCGCGACAGCGGATATTCCTAAAACTTAGTTTTTAACGTCACGGTCCGGCGAGGAGCGTGACGTCACAGCAATACTGTATAATTGTTTTTTTTCTCCAGCCTCCATTCACAAAACAAAAAAAAAACAATATTCGAGATTTTAGGGGTGAAATGAACACTATTTAAGTGTGTTTCCTCAAATGCGAAACCGCTTCAGCTTCCTTTTAAGGGCTGCCGAAACTTACAGAAACATAAGGTTCAGCTTCGCTAAAAAGTTTCTTACGACATATAATATCGTAATCTTTTTAGGCCAACAAAACAGCCAAAGTGCAGACTAGCCAATGGGAATCAATCATTACGTTTAAAACTTGAGACTGCCAAGGAAACTTTATGAAAAAGTGGAAGGGATAAACGAGAGCAGACAGACAGCTTTTAAAACTCATTTTGAGTTTGAGACGCTATCTCTCCGCTTTGTGTTCCAGGATATGAACTTTGGTGCTTCTAATTAGTGGTACGCTATGTAAGTTTAAATGACGGCGTGGCAAAATATTTTGTTGTTCGGCGTTTTTTTTTTTACGTTTAATACGTTTAATCAGTGCGGTACACTCATTAGCATATTTTTTATTATATTTCCTTTTTACATACCAGCAATGGTGATGAAATGCCTTGAGTTGATATTTAATATTATTCCACAGGAATATACACCATAAACAATATAATCTGCTATTCATAACCAGTCATTATTTTCTGCAGTCCAAACCCCCGGAGTATGAGCTGTCTCACGTGGAAGTTCCCGTGGCAATCTACTGGAGCAAAGGCGACTGGTTTGCGGTAGAAAAGGATGTGGCACGCCTACGAGACGGACTGTCCAATGTGGTGGAATATTACCAAGTGCCTGATGAGCAGTTCACCCACTACGATTTCAGCTGGGGAATCAATGCGGAGCCTATCCTATTCCGCCAGATGATGAGTGTCATGGCAAAATACCAAACCTAGACTTTGAATATTTGGATCTGATGCACTGCGGAGTGTTGAAGTTTTTTCGTTCAATTTCGCTTTGATGTCAGCTTTATTACGAGTTGTAGCCGCCTTATTGCTGTACTTGCCGCTTCTTAATTTGATCTATGTTCTGATTTCGCCTTATTCGTTTTTCGGTATGTCTCTCCTCGGAACAAACCGCTATCGCATTATTCCCTTGGCGGCTTGAATTTGGCTCAGTGATTTGGAATTTTCTAATACGTTCACATACTCTAAGCCGTAAATCGGAACAAAATCCAATGACGCAATTAATAGTGTGTCCCCAGTCACAAGGCTTGATCTAAAATGGACCGTGAAAATTGACGCCTGCACGTAGCAATCTAAAATTTTCGTAAAAGGTGTATTTACAGGTAAGTTTTTTTTCTTGTAAAATTACAAACCGTAGCTCACTTTTTCTAAAACACACGCCGGAAACACTTGCCAGTGCCAACGGGAGACGGCGACGCAGACGACCGAGTCCAGTGGCGGGGTGCGTTTGGTGCGCATATTGATAGGTGGCGTCGGGAGCAGCGTCTGAGGGCGTAGCTGTAGCCAACGTTACTAGAACACTCAGTTGGGAGACTCGCCGTCGAAACCTGGGCCGCTGGCGTACACCGAGACCGAGCTAAATACGACAACAGCGCCACTCTTTATCATTTGTCTGTACTGTGGTCACCTTGAGCTTTTAGAAAGCATGTTTTTGCGTAAAAACAAACGGAAAAGAGTCTTTTTGTATAAAATTTATTGGAGTTTAGTACAAAATCAAGGACGCGTGATGTTTCTATAATCTTTAGTTTGCAAGGTTTTGCGAAACAATTAATATTGTTCTTTTTACAACCATGCCTCAGCGGTCCTTTCAGGTAGCGCGTCCCAACCTAGGTGCATTTTAACTTCGGTAGTAATTCGCGGCGCGTCCGCTGGAGAGACGGGGGTGGCACCCCTGTAACCTCTTCCGCTGTATCTGTTTCGGCACCAAAATGGCCGATTAAAGCCAAAATAGAAGTAACGTGCAGTTCCTCGAGTGGCCGCTGCGGGAGAAATGGCGGCGTTGTGTTCGCCATTAGCTCGGTTCGGGTGGACAGATTGGGGCCACTTTTTCAGAGCAGTCTCTATGGTAGTTTCCCAACTGAGTGGTTCTAGTAACGTTGGCTGTAGCGGACCAGCGAAAGAAAGCAGACGACACCTAGACGAAATCAGTTGGCAACAAAAGCGCCGCCGTTATGCACCCGCGTTTATTTTCCTTTAAATTTTGCCTGTATTGTCCGCATTTATTTTTTAATCATAGGTACAATACAAAAATATTATGTTAATTATAATAAACCACAGTGGTCGCGAGCAGTCTCGATAAGGAGGTAGCGGCATCTATGAACACGAGCGCCAATCCCGGCCACGCTACTCGACATGGTCGTCTGCGTCGCTACCCGCGTTGGATGCTGGCAAGTCTCTTGGCCCGATTTTTTTACAGAGAGAGAGAGAGAGCTGCGCTTTGCAGTTTGACAAGAAAACACCGACCTGTAAGATAAACTTTTGAGGAATCTTTAGAATGCTACGTGCAGGCGTCGATCTTTATGGCCCAACTGAGATCGAGCCTGGGGACTTGAGCAACCTATATATGACAGACACTTTCAACGTCACCTTTATTTTCATGTGAATTTATTCTTGATATTGTTTTGCTTAAACCTTTTTAAAATATAAGATTCGAGCGACGATCTTTTTTTTTTTTTCACGGGTTTTAAATTTGTTGGATTGATGCGAACATACTTGTGAGTTTTGTCGACCTTCACGTTCCTTGTGTCGTTAAAAGAAATTGGACTGCCTTTGACGTTCAATCAATATCTTCACTCTCGCCCCTGTTCAATATGAAAATTTAATTAAATTGAATCCGATCCTCTAGCTTGAAGATTTTTACTCTTGCCTCAGTTTATCGCCGTGACTTTGAGAGTCTAGTTGAAAATTGAAACTCGTTGGTACATTTTGTGAGAAATGCGCCCACTATTTGTATCCATGCCAATTTGTACAATCGATGATGTGCGTGTGTCATGTTTCTTCTTTTTATCTTCTTTTGTGCGGCAATGTGAAGACCCGCATAGTTGTTCTTTAGGGGAACGTAAAATATTCTGTAATATTATTATGAGTGAGGAAATGGTCAACGTAAAAGCGAGCTCGTTCGTATTATTCTTGATGTTTAAAAACTGAAGCTGGGAAGGAAACTTGGCTATACATTACAAGAAATAGAAGAAATGTGACAGACAACCCCATTGGAAAACCCCAATATAAACAGCGTATTATGGATATTCGTAAACCATATATTTTTATTGTATTACAATACGATACGGACAGTGTATTGGAAAACATTACATTTATTGTATTGTATTACAATAAGGTTTTTTTATTAAATTCCAATATCCATAATACGCTAAAAACATTGAAATCCATTACTGTATAATCCCTTATTGGATCCCCATGTGTCGTATGGGGATCAATAAGGGTTTACGATTCCAGTGTACTTAGCGTATTATGGATATTGGAATCCAATATATTTTATCGGCGACCAATAAAACTATGTACGAGTTGGAATATCACGTCAAGCACGACATTTCTTTGCAGCGCAGTCTCTCCTTGTGTGTAATTCTGAGTGATAAAATAAAAAAAAAATTGTTGCTGTTGTCAAATTATGAATAAAGAAACAAAACACTGGGCTTATCCATACCAAATATATTTAACATATTCCTGAACTGGAGGATCTGGCATTTACTGCAAAAGAAAGTTAATTGTTTAGGACCCTCATTCAAAAACTTGATGTTTGAAAACAGAATGTGAAATCCTAACCCTTTAATGAAAACCGCACCTGCTAGCTGCAGCCTTATAGAAACTGCAAGATAAAAATGTGTGATTAGTTCGCGACAAGTAGCAATCCTTCACTAAGCCGGATAGATTCAAAACTATATCTGCGTTGATTGCGGATTAATAAGCTTCAATGCCACTGCCGCGCGTCATTCTGAGCTCGGTCAATTAAATATACGTATCCACTCGTCTGCCTTCACTATGCCTGCTTCGCACAGAACTAGTGTATCTGGAATGCTCACCTTTGAGGAAAAATGAACTGGTGCTTGCTTGCTTGTAGGCCGTGGAAACTGGAAGAGAGATTTGCGATTAGTTGCGTCCACGTAGCAGTTATTTTGAGTAGCAAGGTAAAATACACTAAGTCGGAAAGATTCAAAATTACATGCGCGGGACATAGATATCCTCTTGCGACGTAACTGGGAACACGTCAATGTCGCCCGCGTGTATTGTCACGAATGAACGAATGAAACAAAGAATAACTGGGGTAGCTGAAACGTTTAATGGGACGAACTTGTGGCCAAAATAAAAACAAAGGGAACAAAAGAAAGCAGAGCGTCGCGGGAGCTGAGGTCGGCGTGACAGCAGAGTCGAACGCTGGGGCGAAAAAACTGACTGCAGATCGCCACGCGGAGCCCCTTACGTACGCGCGTTGGCTTCTGGAACAATCGGCCTAGAATGATCGGCGACTGGAACATTGGGAACTCAATCATTCGAGGATTCTCTCGAACTCACGAGAACGCAATGTTGAAAGAACAAATAAAATAGCAATCCACTGACGGGACTCGAACCTAGACTTTCCGAGCGACAGTCAAAAGCGGTAATCACTCGGCCACGCACGCGGTCGCCCACCGACGTGCATGGCAGTATTACAAAAAAATAAGCTTCAATGCAGGAGGCCCCCCCCCCCCCCCCACCCACGCTCTGATCTCCGTAAATTAAAACTGCCCTACAGCTTGTCTGGCTTCAGTATTGCTGCTTCGGCAATCTGGAATTCTCACGTTTGAAGAAAAACAAACTGGCACCTGCTGGGCTCTTAGGCGGTGGAATCTTCCAGAAAGATTTGTGATTAGTTGCGTCCAAGTACCATTTTCTTTGACCAGCCACTTACAGCACACTACGCCGGATAAATTCAAAATTACATGTGCGTGACATAATATGCCTCTTGTGACAAAACTGGGCACACGTTTTGTTGCCTACAGCAATACTGAAGCCAGACAAGCGGTGCATTGCAGCAAAACAAGCTTCAGTGAAAGCGTCCTCAGTCGTTCTGAACTCCGTAAATTAAATATGCCGTACCGCGTGTCTGGCTTCAGTATTGCTGCTCCAGAGAAATCTAGAAAATCTATAATCCTCACCTTTGAACGAGAATGAACTGGCACCTCCTGCCTTGTGGGCCATGGAAACTGCAAGAAAGATTTGCGATTAGTTGCGTCCAAGCAGCAATTTCTTTGAGTAGCCGAGTGATGTGATTGGCCTAAGCCATTTTGGAGCACGTTTCGGAGCAACAAAAACAGTGTTTTGGACCAGAGGTGTGGCCTTTGAAGCAACCAATACAGTATTTTGGAGCAGCAAAAGCGGCTTTGGGGGCAGCCAAGACAGTGATTCGGAACAAAAAAAGTAGATTTTGGAGCAGATATTCTTAAGAAAATAAAAATACTCGTTTTAAGTGCTGTCAAACGAAGGGCACTTTGTGTTGTGTTGTGTCGTGTTCTGATGCGACGTGTTGTGACGGAACTCGCTGCTTCTGTTTTTACTGCTCAGACATCCCGTAAGTGTACAGTGCTGTAGGCATTGCCAAGCAATTTCGGAAAACCGCTTGCCACCGTTTTACTGGTTCCTACGTGCGAGATTTTCGTCGAAATAAGCAAACGTAAAACAATGAATTGCAAGCGACCCAGCTGATGCCGCGGTCACGCAGTCATGTTCGCGAGCACGTGAGGCCAACTTCAACAGGCTTTCTCTTGGGCGTTCTTGGTCGCACGAGCACAGACAACGGCTGTCCGATCGAAACCGAAACCATGCCCCTCAGCTCCGCCACTAACTTATCCCCAATATTGTACACAAAATGTAACTTTCCAGCGTGCGACAAAAACAGTCCAGTGGCGCGTGCTTGCCAGGCCGGCAAACAAGGTACA